AGCGACAGATCTTTGGAAACAGGGATGACACACATGGTGCAATCTGACCTCATCTGCGCTCTGTCCACTGCTCCCACAGGGTGAAGCAGTCTGACCTGTTTGACAGATGGAAGAGCCTCCAGATATGCAAGTGGGCAATGGACAGTTCCGAAGCCAGCTTGTTCAAGTATGCATTGTCCTCTGTCTCCCCTCGTGGTATGGGTCCCCACTTCCACCTCTTCAGATAGCCATTATCTGTAACACTGGCTTTTCAGTGGGCACCCACCTGGAGCTGGCCCTAAGGGCCTTAGGAATATGAGCAGTGGCGAGGCCAGCACCTGGTCAGCTAGTGGCCTCCCTGCTTTGCTGTGGTCTTTGCCGTAGCCTTACAAGGTTGGGCTGTCACATCTAGCTCAGTGCTGGTGTGCACTCCTTGGAGCACTCAGGCTCCAAGGAGTGAGCTATTTGCTTAGGGTTCTTCCATAGCCCTTACAGTCTCATTGTTCCCACCTCCTGATCCTGGGACAGTGGCTCTACCCACCTTCCTGGAGACCCTATGTTTATTGTGCTTCTGTCTGATGTCCCAGCCTGGTATTGAGTGTTTGAATTGCTCTCTAACCACAATTAACAGATAGTAAGTTCTGGGAGAAGCAGTAGCTATATTTCCAGTTCTCAAGTGAACCAAGCAGAAGCGAGGCATCCAAAAATGCTTTTCCTTTAGTGATGTGCTTTGGGGTTTTCTCCACTGTTAGCCTCTTGCCAGCTTTCGGTATCATTCCAGGGCAGGTAGACTTCACACTAGGAAATTGATGTGGTCCTGGCAGCTGTTGTCTACACTGGGTATCAGTCACTCGGGTTCAAGTTTAAATGTACTGAGGAGCTACTGACAGGAAGGAATCCTACACAGGTGGCTGTAGAGAGTGGGTATCACCAAGCACTTGTATTTTCTTTATCAATACTTTCTTTCAGTTTGTGGTGATTCTAGGCCGGGCAGTTTGCTCTGCTGTGCCCTTCTCCCACCCCCCTTTTCATTATCTCCTCTTGCCTCCTCCCTTCTCCTCTTACCTTCCTCACTCTTTCTCTCTCTGGACAGGGTCTAACTGTGTGGCCTAGGCTGGCTTCAAACTCCTAATCCTGCCCCTAACTCCTAAGTGCTGAGTTGACAGGTGTGAGGGAATAGTAGCATGAAGCAGCACACTTTTAAGTATTTGATATGGGTTCCAGTGAGCAGGCATGAGAAGCCTCAATGAAGCTGCAGAATCCTAGCCCCGGTTGGAGGAGACATGACTGCCTGGAATGTTTTAGTGGGCCTGGGCAAAGTGCCAGTGAATGCCGAACAGACCCAGGATCTGCACCCCTGAAGTATGACTTCATGCTCTTCCTTCTAGATGTCCTCAGGGCAGGGGAGGCTTGAACACATGGAAGTTGATTCTAAAATCCAATTCTTCACTACTCTGTGACTAGCAGCCAGTCTGGTTCCCTAGTGAAGATTTCTCAGCAAGATGTGAAATCATAAAAAGTCATTTAACCTTTACATTTAGCCTTTTGGCTCAGACAAGTTGGAGGCACCAAATGATAGAGGGTCAGTAACAGAACAGCCACCTCTACATTTTATACATGAAGAAACTGAGACCCAGAGTGGAAAGACACCCTACTGAGGCCCACAGCTGCTGGCCACAGAGCAGAAAACAGAGTCCAGGCCTCTGGATGCTAAGTGCCAACTCATATTTCCACCTCAGAGCTCATGAGAACACTCCAGACCTCCTCTTAAACCTGCTCCTGGTCGTCATGTGGCTGTATGGAGAGGGTGGTCCATCCCCCAAGGCTGCCTGGACCCTGAGAGCTTTGGGCCTGGAGCTGTGTATACTCCAGATGCCTCCTACCTGTCTGTGTGTGTGTGTGTGTGTGTGTGTGTGTGTGTGTGTGTGCTTACAGGGCTTTGTCCAGGTCATCACAGGGCTCTGTATGGATGGAGGTCCATTCCCCAGGGCTCCCTGGACACTGCAGGGGATTGATCCTGGGGCTGTGAATATGCCAGTCTAACTCAAGGAGGCAGTTATTTGTGCCCAGGGCCACAGCCAGAGCCTATTAAGTTTCCCAACAGGGGGTAAGATTGACCAGGATCTCACCCTTTCAAAAGGCTTCTTGGAAAATCCTGGAGCAGAGAGAAAAGGACATTTTTGCAGTAGTCCTGTTTTTTTTTTTTTTTTTTTTTTTTTTTTTTTTTTTTTTTTTTTTTTGTTTTTTGTTTTTTGTTTTTTGTTTTTTCTTTTAATCTAGTGTCTGAGCTTTAATCCCTCTGCAGCTCCGCTTTGAGTGTTTCAGAGACAAAAATGTCAGGACACTTCTTCCTCCCTCCCTTCCTCCCTCCCTTTTTCCCTCCCTCTTCCCCCCTCCTTTTCTTTCTATACTGAATCCCTGAACTGTCTCTCAGGAACCATGTTCCACTTTCTGCAGGAAGGCATCTGGTACCAACCCAGTGTCATTAATCTGGCTCTGCCCTCTCCCTAAACCAGTTTCTGAATGACTGGTGTGACACATTTGGTGACCCACACAGGCCTTGGTTTTGTGTGATAAGGGGAGATCCTTGTTGAGTGTTGGTCATAGGAGCTGAGACCCCCAAAGAGCTCTGGCTTCAGGTTGCTGGATGAATTGCAGGGGTTTGAAGAGCATTTCCTGGAGCAGTGAATTCTGGGGGTGGGGGGAGTCTTGCTGTCACTGAATAGGCATGGTTCAAGGCACGGCTGGCACAGAGTGATTTGAACAAGCCCATGCTGAGTGCTATGTGAGGTTTAAAGCAGTGCAGGGCCTGGTATCTGGCTTTCCTTCCAGCCTAAGAAGGCAGGGATAATGATAAAAATGAAAAATAATAATAAAGAAAGGACCAGGCAGTGGTGGTGCACGCCTTTAATCCCAGCACTTGGGAAGCAGAGGCAGGTGGATCTCTGTGAGTTCAAGGCCAGCCTGGTCTACAAGAGCCAGTTCCAGGATAGCCAGGGCTACCCAGAGAAAACTTATCTTGAAAAACAAAACAAAATAAAAAAAACCCAAAAGAAAGGTGAAGTGAGTTCTTGTGGTGGGCACTGCCAATGAATGCCACTAAGTAGACATGCCATGCACAACTGAGTTAGAGCAAAAGGTTTATTGGGGGAGGTGAGAGGGAGACAGACAGACAAAGAAAGAAACAGGAAGAAACAACAGGAATAAGAGAGGCAAGAGAAGCAAGAGATCAAACCGTGCCTGGTGGACACTTTTAAGGGGTGCACATGTTTTATAGCTGACGGTAGAAAGCCACCTGGCAACAAGGCACCAAGAACTAACAGCAGGTGATTTATATGTGGTTAGTCTGTGCCGTAGCCATCACGGGGACATATGGCAGCTGGAGCTTTCTA